GACATAAACAAATGGAAGAACATACCATTATCTTGGCTGGGAAGAATCAACATGGTCAAATTGTCTATAGTACTGTAAGCAATGTGCAGCTTTAACAGAATCCCCATTAAAATACCAACATTATACTTTGAAGAACTGGAAAAAAAACAGTGCTTCATTTTGTATGGAATCAGAAAAAACCCTGTATAGCCAAGGTTATTCTTAATAATGAAAACAAAGCCAGAGGCATCACTCTACCAGACTTCAGGTTATATAAGTCCATTGTGATCAAAACAGCATGGTATTGGCACAAAAATAGAGACACAGACATGTGGAACAGAATAGAAAACCGAGAGATGAAACCAGTCTCTAGTGGCTATCTGATATTCGATAAACCAAACAAAAGAATAGACTGAGGAAAAGAATCCCTATTTAATAAATGGTGCTGGAAGAACTGGATAACTACATGTAAAAGACTGAAACTGGACTTCCACCTTTTGCCACTTATAAAAATTGATTCAAGATGAATAAAAGATTTAAATCTAAGACATGAAATAACAAAAATCCCAAAGAAAGTGTAGGAAAAACTCTTGATGATGTTGACCTGGGAAAAGATTTTATGAAGAAGACTTTAGTGGCAATCACAACTAAAATAAAAATAAGCAAATGGGACTTAATTAAGCTGACAATTCTGTACAGCTAAAGACACAAAATTAAAGCAAATAGACAATGTTTAAAATGGGAAATGATATTTGCATGTTATGTATCTGACAGAGAGTTTATAACTAGAATTTACAGAGAATTCAAATTAATCAACAGAAAAAAAGAGCAAACAATCCTGTCTATCACTGGGCAAGAGATATGAATAGAACCTTCTCTGAGGAAGACAGACAAATAGCTAACAAACATGAAAAAAATGCTCTTTATCTCTAATCATCAGAGAAACACAAATCAAAACCACCCTGAAATATCACCTATCCCCAGTGAGAATAGCCCATATCACAAGATCCCAAAGCCGCAGATGCTGGTGAATGTGGAAAACACTTTTACAGTGTTGCTGGGACTGCAAACTCACACAGTCTCTTTGGAAAGAAGTATGTGGAATCCTCAAAGAACTCAAATTAGACCTCCCATTTGATCCTGTAATCCCACTACTAGGCATCTACCCAGATGAAAAAAAGTCCTTTTATCATAAGGACTCTTGCACTAGATTGTTTATTGCAGCTCAATTTACAATCACCAAGATGTGGAAACAACCTGAATGCCCATCAACCCAGGAATGGATCAATAAACTGTGGTATATGTATACCAC